TATATATATATAAACCAAAATTAGAAATATTTATATGTAAAAATTTATATTATTTTACTTTTATTTTATTTTTTTAAAATTGTTCATATTTATTTAAAAGAAAAAAAAGAAGAAAAAAAAAGAAGAAAAAAAAATAGGAATGGGGACGGGGACGGGGCGGGAAAACCCGAATCCTGCCGGGGACAGGGATGGGGACCCAAATTTTACCCCCGGCGGGTATTGGGGGCGGGGGCGGGGGCGGTTTAAATTTGCGGGGACGGGGCGGGGAATGTAAAACCCGCCCCTGCCCCGCCTTGTTACCATGCCTACTTCTATCTCATTATTTATCACAAGTAGGAGTTTTGATAAATGATAACAAGCTTCAAAATACTCTTAGAACTTTGAAAATAATCAAATACATGTGAGAAAGAAAAAAGAGTAAAACGGAAAAGAAAGGAACGATTTCATATTGATTGTATGTGTACACTGTTTTGTAAAAATATATTTACAGAAAACGCTAGGCTGGATATGTATATATACATAGGCAGCCAGCAAAACTGAAAAGAGAAAAATACAACACAAACAGAGTAATTGACTTAATTAGTTTTGCTAACTGTAGAATTGTGGTCTAATACCCCCCTGCAAGCTGGAGAGTATATGTTAATTACTCCCAGCTTGGATAACAAATATTGAAAAGGTGAAGGATCAAGCGGTTTGGTAAGTATGTCAGCTAATTGGTGAGAAGAAGCAATAGGTAGTAAGTGAAATAGGCCAGCTTGAAGCTTCTCACGAACAAGGTGGCAATCAATCTCAATGTGTTTAGTTCGTTCATGGAAAACAGCATTAGATGCTATGTGTCTAGCAGACTGGTTATCGCAATAAAGGAGGGCTGGAGTAGTAAAGGGAACAGAAAAGTCTTGAAGCAAGTAAGTTAACCATTGAATTTCACAAGCTGTGGCAGCAAGAGCACGATATTCTGCTTCGGAAGAGGATCTTGAAATGGTGGACTGTTTTTTGCACTTCCAAGAGATGAGGGAATTTCCTAGAAAAATAGAATAGCCTGAGAGAGACCTTCTGGTATCCGGACAAGAAGCCCAGTCTGAATCACTAAAAGCTTTGAGTTGAAGAGGGGAATCTGCTGGATAAAACAAGCCTTGTCCAGGATTGCCCTTGAGGTATCTAAGTACCCTGATGGCAGCTTGATAATGAGACTGTTGAGGGCAGGATAAAAACTGACTTAGTTGCTGGACAGAATAGCTGATATCGGGTCTAGTTGTGATGAGATACAAAAGTTTGCCAATGAGCCTTCTATACCCAGCTGGATCTTCATAAGGAGAATCAGTGGTGTGGCTGAGTCTTGTGCCTTTAATTATGGGAGTAAGAACTGGTTTACCTGCAAGAAAACTAGTTTCATCAAGTAAATCTAATGTGTATTTTCGTTGAGAAAGGGAAATGCCAAGATGAGACCTAGCAATTTCCAAACCAAGAAAATATCTCAAAGGACCAAGATCTTTAATTTTGAATTTGACATCTAAAGATTGTTTAATGTGGTTGATTTCTTCAGAATCTGTTCCAGCAATTATAAGATCATCTACATAAATTAGAATCACAGTAAAATGAGTGCCATGGTGTTTAGTGAAGAGAGAATGGTCATGTTGGGATTGTTTGTAATGTAAGGATAGTAAAAATGAAGAAAGTTTAGCAAACCATTGTCTACTGGCTTGCTTCAAACCATAAAGGGATTTGTTGAGTTTACAAACATGATTAGGTTTATCAATGTTGAGACCTTGGGGTATCTCCATGTAAACATCCTCAAGCAAATCCCCATGAAGAAAAGCATTATTAATATCAAGTTGATGAAGTTCCCAATGTTGACAGGAAGCAATGGCAAGTAACATTCTAACAGTGCTTAACTTTGCAACCGGGGCAAAAGTATCAAAATAGTCTAAACCTTGGATCTGAGTATACCCTTTTACAACCAACCGAGCCTTATACCTTTCAATTGAGCCATCAGATTTGTACTTAATTTTATATACCCATTTGGAACCAATAGGTGTCTTTCCAGGAGGTAAAGGCATAATAGTCCAAGTTTTATTGTGTTCAAGTGCATCAAGTTCAGCTTGCATGGCTTCAACCCACACCTTATTTTTAACAGCTTGATTAAAGGTATGAGGTTCAACATGAGTAGTGATTGAGAGAACATACCTGGAATATGAAGCTGAAAGGGAATCATATGACAGAACAGTATTAAGAGGGTACCTGATGTGTTTATCTTCTGGTGGTGGCACACCAATCAGCAAATTACAATGATAGTCCTTGAGATAAGCAGGGGAACATTTATGTCTAGTAGATTTCCTTAGTTGTGAAGGAGATGATGTTTCAGAGGGGTGAGCAGATTCATCAATGTCATTTAGATCATTTTCATAATGAGCAGAATCAATATCAAGGAGAGAAGAATTATCAATAGTAGTGACAGGATGAGATGATGAATCAAGGTATAGAAAATCAAAGCATGCATCATTTTGTTGTTGTGAATTAGTGATAACAGTAGAACCTTTTTCAAAAAAGGGAAATATATGTTCATAAAAGACAACATTTCTGGAAACAAAAATGCTTCTGGTTAAGAGATCAAGGACCAAAAAACCCTTAGTGCCTTGTTTGACACCAAGATAGACTCCTTTAGTGGCTTTAGGGGCCAATTTGGATCTGCCTTGAACCAAAGTGCTAGCATAACATAAGCTACCAAACACCTTTAAGTCTAATAATGTAGGTGGTTTATCATACAGCATTTGATACGGTGAAGAATTATTTAAAACAGGTGAGGGAAGTCTATTTATCAAGTGAATAGCATGACCAACAGCATAACACCAAAAAGATTTAGGAACATTAGAATGGAAAAGAAGAGTTCTAGTTATGTTTAGAATGTGTCTATGTTTTCTTTCCACAACAGAATTTTGTTGTGGAGTTTCAACACAAGAGGTTTGATGAACAATCCCATAGGTAGCATAAAGTTGATCCATTGCAAATTCAACACCATTATCGGATCTTAATACCTTAATGTGTTTAGTAAATTGAGTTTGCACATAGGAAATGAAGTTTTGAATCAGATTTCTGGTTTCACCTTTTGATTTCATGAAATAAATCCAAGTATGCCTAGAATAGTCATCTACAATAGTAAGAAAATACTTATGACCATGTATAGAGGGAATAGCAAGGGGGCCCCAAATATCCATGTGAACAAGATCAAAGCAAGATAGACTTTTCGTAGTACTAGTAGGAAAAGGTAATCTAGCTTGCTTGCCAAAATGACAGTAATCACAAGTAATATTTTTATTGTAAGTCACATAAGGAAAAAGTCTTTTCACAGTTTGTAAAACAACATGAGAAGGGTGACCAAGCCTATAATGCCAAAGATCAAAGGAAGAAGTAGTGCCCTTTGGTTGAGCATTCAAAACAGAATTAGATTTACAAGCTGAAATAGAATTATCCTTGGAAGGACGTTGCAGAATGTAAAGGTGATTTTTGACCTCAGCAAGCCCAATCGTCTTCTTGGAAGTGAGGTCCTGTATGATGCAAGAATTCTTGTTAAACATGAGTTCATAATCTAAAGATGCAGCAATCTTTTGCACAGATATGATGTTGAGATGAAAATTGGGTATGTAAAGAACATCATTAAGGAAAAACTTTTCAGAGAAAATAATGGTTCCAGAAAACTGAGCAGTTGAGGTATTTCCATTAGGCAGCTTAACATGAACAGGATCTATAGGATGATATTTAGTAAAAAAATATAAAGAATTACAGACATGATCAGTAGCTCCAGTGTCAAGAATCCAATCAGTGTGTTCCAAAGGGTTACCTGGTTGATTTTGTTGCAGGTTGGAGGAACTTACTGATTCAGTAGTGGTTTGATGGACAAGTTGATTAATGCTATGTTCTGGTGATTGCAACTTAGCCCTTTTTAGCATGTCAATGAGGTGATCATAATCTTCATGGGTAAAATTTGAGGTGGACTCTTTGTTTTGCTTTCTTGAAATCTCACTAGCTTGGGTACTGGGAGCCTTACTACTGATAGTGTTTATGGAAGTAGTGTTCCCTTTGTCCTTGAATTTGAAATTGGGAGGGAATCCATGTTTGAAGTAGCAAGAGTCTATGGTATGATTTTCCTTACCACAGAAGGTGCAGACTTTCCCTGCATTGGTGAAAGATCCTCGACCACCTGTTCTTCCTCTTCCTCTTGAGCTTCCTCCTCTACCATTGGAAGAAGATCTCCAATTCCCCCCAGATTGTGTGTTGAGGCTAAAGATTCTTGAGTCTGCAAGATTGGGTGTGTTTTGCTGTCTTTCTTGCTGCAATACTAAAGAAAAAACTTTGTTGATCACAGGCAAAGGATCCATAATAAGAATTTGACTCTTGACAGTGTTGTATTGATCATTAAGGCCCTTGAGGAAGCATATGACATATTCGGTGTCCTTGTAGTCTTTTACTTTGGTGGAAAGGTCACATGAGCATCTAACATCACAGGTACAAGTTGGTGTTGGCCTTAATGACTCTAATTCTTCCCATAGGATTTTTAGCTCAGTAAAATAGCTTGATATAGTGCGGTCTGCTTGTTTGATGGAATGAATTTCCTGCAGTAAGTCTGAAAACCTAAAGTAATCCCCTTTTGAAAATCTTTCTTTCAAATCCTCCCAAAGCCTTTGAGCGTTGTTGATGTAGATGACACTTTGTGCTATTTGTTCAGAAACAGATTTTGTTATCCAGGAAAGAATCATGGTATTGCATCTTACCCAAGCATCATGAAGTTCATTAGACTTTTGTGGTTCTTGAATGGACCCGTCCACGAATTTGAATTTGTTTTTTGACAGCAGAGCCCTCATCATGCTTCTGCTCCAAGAATGGTAATTTGACTCATCAAGAATTGGGCTAGCAAGAACAGCACCTGGGTTTTCTCCCGGGTGGAGGTAATAGGGGCTTGCAGGGTTTTGGGGGTCTTCATTTTTTTCTTTGTTGGTTTCTTTTTCAGCCATGGTTGCGGACAGCGGGATCCGCGAATGGAAGCAGTGGCAGAGCTCAGAGGCTCATGATACCATAAAACGGAAAAGAAAGGAACGATTTCATATTGATTGTATGTGTACACTGTTTTGTAAAAATATATTTACAGAAAACGCTAGGCTGGATATGTATATATACATAGGCAGCCAGCAAAACTGAAAAGAGAAAAATACAACACAAACAGAGTAATTGACTTAATTAGTTTTGCTAACTGTAGAATTGTGGTCTAATAAAGAGAGAGATATAATGGGTTAGAAAGATTAAAACTCAAGGAAACCTTTTTAGCAAAGTTTGATTTCTTTGACCAAGAACTAGTCAAAATTATTGTTCATGTTCTCCGGGTTTAATCTTTCCTGTTTTTGAATTTAGTTTTTGTTTTCAGAATTAGATATTCATTCTAAGTTCCAAGAGAAAGGATTGTAATTCGTGGGATAGGTGTTCTCAAGGTATTTCAATTAAATGGGTTTTCTAATTGTTGATTTTACGATCAAAGATCTTAATTGGGTTTTAGGAGTCTTTTTTATATAGTGGATCTTGCGTTGTGGTTGTAATTACAATATTGTTATTAATTAAGTAGAAATTTGTATTAAGAAGTCGAAACGGATTTTGAATTCTTTGAAAAGATAACTTCTCATAGGAGAGCCAATCAAATATATTTTATTCACGGGACCAATAATCTCAATTTTCTTGTAGATTCATTTTGGGTGAACTTAAAACACAGTTTTCAAATTAGCAATATTTTGAATTTATAAGTTATATATATTTTTATTATAAAAATAACATATATGACGGACAACACAAGGAAATCGATAAAAATGACAACAAATACATATAAGTATGAAAACTCAATAATTACAACTTATTATAGAAAATATTTTAAAATTTAATTCATTTTTGATAAAACAAAATTGAATATGAAAAAACACATTTCAACATTGATAAACATTATATTAAGATAACATATTGATTATATAGAATATGATTTTTTGGATTTTTGATTAATATATATTAATCAAACATAAACACATACAATTTGTAGTATTTTTAGATTTTTTTTTATGATTTCATATGTTAAACAGTAATATAAACATGTTGATAAACACATATAAAAACATTTAAAAAGAAGGGGTTATTGAAAGAGAAGTTATACAAAGATAAATAAGTCATAAATAAAAGAACGAGTTATAGGAAAAGATAGAGTGATAAGTAAAGAGGGAGTCATATATAATAGAAAAAATAGTTATAGAAAGATAAAATTGAGAGAGAAGAATTATAGTAAGTGGTGAGTTACATAAATTATTCTCTTGGAACTTGAAGTCATATGTGCAACATGAACAATGTCTAGAGTATTGTGTGATATGTAATCACAATAAAAAATGAGCTTAAGTTCCCTATTTATATAATTTATAGTCTAACAATCAAAATCTAACATTTTGTCATGTGTATAGTAACTACCTAATTTATTATAAATATTGACATGTCAAATTGGTTACATGTCTAAAATACAGGTGATAACTTATTTCTTCATCTTTTGATAAATGCTTCACAATTGATCACATATGTTCTCTTGAAATGATTTGTTGAGATTTTGAGATAATTGCCAAACTACTCCAAAAAGCATAATTGTCCTTTTGAGGTAACTTCCAAATTCTCAAATAGAATTTCTCAAGATTCCTTACATGCCAAAAACTCTTCAAAGTATTTTGTACCTTTATCAAACCATTTCACGCAACATAAATATCGACAAGTAGTGACTACATACTTAGCCAAATACTTGTATTCCTTTTTGAGATTGATTCAATGAAAGGATACAAGTCATCCCACTTAATTTATTTTACTTACATTTTACAAAGGTAACATCATTTCAGTCATATTAAAATGCATAAATCAAGAATACATAAAATTTTTCCTATAACTCAATGGCCCCCAAAAAATATATACTTGATATTATATGAGAATGTATATTTTTTATTTAAAGAGAATTTATAGTAATAATTCTTGATTTCTTTGGAAATTGAAAGTTGTGATGGCACTAATAAATTGATTTGACCACTAGTCACACACGTTAAATGGAATATGGGATTATGTGACCAAAAAAATAAAAAATATGGTGTAAACACCTTTATCATGTCCCTACAAGAGTAACTTCCCTTAAAATCAATATATTAAAAAGATAAAATTTATCTTTTTAATTTAAAATTGGCAACCATTTCAACTCCTACTTTTCTCCAAAATAAATAGATGTAAAATTCATGATTCCACTTTTACAATTTCACTTTTTACCTCCAATCTTCTCGAGCTACTTAATATTTTGTGAGCTCTTATTCTTTGTTCATCCAAAGTCATTAACACTTTACCTACAAAACTATTACCTTCACCATCAAGGTGGCTTCTTCATCAACTATTTCATCCAATTTCTACTAAAGACATGGTACTTGTGATGAAGGTTGCTCTTGTTGTCGAGAGTAGGAAGAAAAAGTTCACCCCCATTGACAGTCTTGAGATGGAGAGCTTGAAAATATAAGAATTTATCCAACTTCCTTTGAAAACAAGAATCTTGCATGTTTAGGGTCCTTTAGACCTTTAATAACTTTAGAGGTTTTGCAAGTTTTGTTCCTCTGTCTCAAAACAACCACTTATCCATTGGGATAATGTCTGAATTGATTTTCTAATCGAATCTCAAAAAATCTGTTGAGTTTTTCTCCCAACCAATAGGAAGAAACATGTTGAATGGCTTGACAGGGTTCAAGTTGAATGGGGTAAACATTGAAGAAAATAGGTACTTTTGACTTTTTGTAGTTAAGTTGATTTAATACAAGAAATCTTGATATTTCGATGATTATGACTACTTTTTATTTGGGAATTGAAGGACATATTATTTCAATTTTCTCTATTGTCCAATAGGAACAACTTTGTTTGATATGATTTCCATTATTGGTTTGAAACCAACTGATTAACAATATGCTATGGGTTTATTTGTTGAAGAGATCGAGAAGGACAAAACAACTCTCAATTGGGATAAGAAGGCATATACAAACTATATGCTTGAATATAAAAAACCTGCATAAAGTTTTGTCAATGATGATGAACACATAGCCTTTTTGCTATATTGTTCATAGTGAAATCCTACAATATAAAGTTGATTGTAGAGGACTAGATGTAGCTTTCAAAAGTTGAAAGTGAACTAGTATAAAAGTCATGCATAATTTTCTTTCTCTATCTTTACTCATCTCTTATGAACTTTAATTGATTAATTGTTGAATTGCATTGCTTACATAGAAATTTCTTTAAAGATTCCTTGGCTACAAGTATCTAAACTTGTTAATCAACATATTTGAATAAATAGTGGAGGTTTAATAAGTTTTCTTTTCAAAAGGTGATCTTAAGGGAATTTTTTTTATATTTGAAAAACCACCCATTCAACTCCTCTTTCTTGGTGAGCTACATGTTTAATAAGATTTGTACTAACAAATGATAGTTGTAAAAAAGTACAATAGCTTTTGCAAAACAACTACAATAAGAAACAAACAAGAATTTTTTGTTTCACCTCATTTCTCCAATGCATGCAACATAGTTGACTTCCTCTTTCGATGACCTTGAAACCAATGCTCGAGTTTCATATCTACTAGTGATAGTTACTCACCTTTTACTAGATGTCAACACCTAAACCCACCCTAATCCACCCAAGAAGTTTTCCACCCATTGTGCCTAAGAACTTATTATTTGAAAGGTTTCCATGATCGAAAATGGTTCTAAAACAAGAATGTTTGGTTATGGTCAAGGTATTTTGGATCCAAATTGGCTAAATATAACTAATGATAAACCATAAATGCAACTACATACTTTCCAAACTACATTATCATCAATAACATACAAAACAACATACCAAAGCATAACAAAAGCATATGAAAACAAGTATGAAAATAAATCATAAAACAAACAAACAGTTGTTCTATGACCATTACTAATAACTTTGTTTTTAATTTTTTTAATTATATATTTTTAATCATCTTCCAAAAGGCTTCTCTTACTAATTGAAATTTTGTGTGTTTATAAACTCATGTTCATCTTCATGTTTGATGATGTGGGACTTTGATTATATCTCGATAATCTTTTGCTCAAATAAATGGTCATGGTTTAAGCCCCGACAACAAAAGTCATCTTTTCAGTCCACGAGTAATCTAATGGTGACCCATAAAGCTTAGTCATGCTTTAAGTATTTGCATCATTGCTCCACCATTAGCTCATGATAATAGGATACACTTCCTAACCCTCTATGTTACCAAAAAGACTCTCCATACACATATTCACCATAAAAAAGACTTTCGATGTAAGAGATCCTATGCCCATATCTATCATTGATTCAATTATACTCACTTGATCGATCACCTAATCGAAACCATCGTCTCTAATCAAACTTATTGTGCACCAAGGGTTCCAACACACATGTCTTCACATTGGTATAACATTATCCACTTCAAGCTTAAGCTTTCATGGTTTTGCTTTTTGTCATCACCCAAAAGACTTCTCACTAATGGAGACAATTGTGTGTTTATAAACCCATATCCATCCTTTTGTTATAATATTGTGGGATTTTGATTTGTTTCCCAAAAATCCTCCTCTCAAACAAGACCATGGTTTAACCTCCCTCTATAACAAAAGCCAACTTTTTAGTCCATGCGTAATCCAATGGTGACCCATAGAGTTTAGTCATGTCTTAAGTACATGCACTACTACTTTACCGTTAGCTTACAATAGCGGGACACACTTTTTGATTTCCATGTTAACAAGAAGACTTTTCATACATTGACCTATCTTCAAGAAGACTTTTGATAGAAGGGATCCCATGCTAGTGATCTACTTGCCAACTCCATCATACTTGTCTAAGTTGATCACCAAATTGAATCATTAACTATAATATCACATGTTGTGCACTAGGGTGTTACGTACATGTGTCTCCATGTTGGTATGATATTGTCTATTTTGAACCTAAACCCTTATGATTTTTCTTTTGGTCATCTCCCAAAAGACCTCTCTTACCAATAAAGACATATGTGTGTTTATAAACTCATGTCTATTATCTTATTTCAATGATGTGAGACTTTGCATTTTAACAAACTCATTAACAAATATCACAAGATTTGCATGCAAGTTTATTACATTTATTGCAATTAATATTGGGATTCAATTAAAGGACCCCATAAAAGGATGTTTGAGACACTTATGTCACAAATCAAGTTGATTCATTCCACCAACTCTATACACCTCAATGTTAATGACCCTATTGAAAAAAATAAGAGCCTTCTTTTTTCTATGTTCACTTGCACTAATCAACATCCTTTAACTGTAATCTTGTGTAACATATAAGTCACTAGTAAATTAAACAATGCAATCTGACTCATCAACCAATAATGACACAAAGATGAAATTGCAATTCAAGTTAAGAATGAAAAAAGCATTTTTAATTATCAAGATCTCATAAATTCATGAAGCCTTTTTTACTTATAGTAATATGTTATCCATTCAAGAATCCAATAGATATTGAAACACTTTTAACTCCTCACACACATGAGATTACTTTCCTATGGACTATGGTATGATTTGATGCCTCTATGCCCATAATTCATGTTGAACTTCTATACTTTCATGATTAGTCATTCATCGAAATTTTCCATTACTTATTACTTAATTTTGGGAGACCAACATTCTTTACATCCACCAGAATTCATGCCAAAGAACTAAAAGGTAAAATGAAATACTTTTCATTATAAAGACAAAAAATTACTATGTAAGAGAATTAAAATAAAAATATGTTTAACTATTAAAATTTTTAAAAAATAATAATTAAGCCTTCATTTTTCAATTAGACAAATAGTATACATTATTAATTTTCTTTGACCATTTTCTTCTCACCATTACCAGTACCACCCCACGAACGAATTACCCATATTCATCCCTTTCCCGTAAACTTCAAGCCATATCATATAGCATACGAGAAAGCACTAATAATTAAAGTATTATTAGACCCACGTTCATTAGTGACACTGCTCCGTTTCAAAATTTTCAATCGCCGCGAACTCAATGGAACCTCAAGTTCCGGCGACGGGCACCGCCGAGCCCTCACAATCTCAACCACCGAAACCATCCCCTCCTATCCCTCCACCTTCCTCCTCATCAACGCCTCCCATCTCAGCCCCAAACCCAAACCCTAGCCCAGGCCCAAGCCCAGGCCCAAGCCCTGGCCCAGGCCCAGGCCCAGGCCCAGGCCCGATTCAAACCCCGAACCCCAAGCCCCCCACCCCCACGCCCACGCCCACGCCTCCCCAACCTCGCCCTCAGCCCTCATTCAACCGCACTTTGCCTCCGTCGCAGCCGACATCGCAGCCGCATTTCCCGCACTTCTCGTCGCTCCCGCCTTCCTCCGCTCCTCCACCGTCCTCCGCTCCCGGCGCCGCCGCGGCGCCGAGGGGCGGCATGGCAATCGGTGTGCCGGCGCACCACCAGAACCCCTCTCCTCCGTTTTCATCCTCCTTCGGTCAACATTTTGGTGGGCTGGGCCGAACCGGAGTCAACGTCGCTGAATCTACCTCCAGTTCAAGCACCTCTCAAGTAATCATCGGCATTCTTCATTACTTTGAGGACTAAATGTGTTTTTACTCCTTGAAATTTTTGGTCGATCTCAGTTTTTACTACCTGTACAAATTTCTATTTAGTAGTTTGTTTTAGTTCTTGAACTTTTAGCCATTTTCATTTTTAGTTCATAATTTTTTCTTCCTGTTAATATTTTTGGTTCCTGACATTAAGTTTTTTTGTTCATGGAGAGCAATTTTAGGGACTAAAACCAAAAGTAATTTGTTCGGAGATTAAAAGTGACAATTAACACAAGTTTAGAGAATAAATACATATTTGATTCTTATTTTGATTATGAATGTATGTTACTACATACACTGTTCGTGTTTTTCACTAGTTGTATTGTTTGTAATGTTTCAGGTGAGAACTCCCGCGCAAGGAATGGGGATGTTAGGGTCTCAAATGCGGCCAAGTGGAATCCCTGCACATCAACAGAGACCCGTGCAATCGTCTCTTAGACCTCCATCCTCTGCCCCGAATAATCAACCTGCTGGTTCACAAGTTAGTATAAATGTTATGAGTTATGACTATGCTTGTTGTGTGGTTTTCACTTATGCTTGGCCTAGTTTGAGGGTTTGTGTAATAGACTTATAGCATGTTTGTCCGTGCTTCCTCCATCAATTGAAGCTGATCCAAGCCCATCAGAAGCTACTTACTAGAAGTAGCTTCTGCGCATTTTATATGCTAGACATGGTGAGAGAGTATTTGATCCACATTATTAAATCCGTTCCAAACATGTACTTCAGCTGGGGTTGTTTGTGTTTGGAAAATGGAAATATAGTTAGAGTGCTTTCTATACATTGGTGTTGAATTTTACTGTTTTGCCTTCTGTATGAGACTGTAAAATCAAAACTTCATCTGGTTGAGATGACTGAATTGTATTGTTCTATCAACTCTTATATTTAGACATGGATACTTGAGTGCACTTCTCACTTACAAGATAGGTGGTTTTGGTTCTTCTGCATGGAGGAAGGAGGTTCTCCCAAGGCCTTGTTTAGGGTTGTTATTGGTGAAGGAATAAATTGAGTTAAAATATTTATTTACCTATTAATTTTTATGATTCTATCATTGTGATTTGTAAGAGTGTAAGATTGTAAATTATTAAGCATTTCTTAATTTCTATTGTTATGTGTATTTGAGAGGTTTACTCACTTTTATGTGTGGTGCTGTAATGCTTGTGCTTTGCATACAAACATGCATATTTTGTGGAAGAAGAAGGTTGGTGATTTTGTAATGTTTTGCATTTTCTTCAGAGCTTCCAAGGGCATGGACTTATGAGACCCTCGTCAGTTGGCTCGCCTGCTACTCCATCTCCGAGTGCATCACAAAGTGTGCAGTCACTTAATCAGCCATGGTTGTCATCTGGGCCACAAGGGAAGCCTCCTTTGCCATCCACGGCTTATAGGCAGCAATTGAACCCACAATCCATGCAGCAAAGATCACATATTCCTCCTCAGCAGCAATCCACACCAACATCTTCACAGCAGCAGCAGCAGCAACAACAATCTTTGCTGTCTAATCAATCACAGGAGCATTTTGGGCAACAAGTTCCGCCATCCAGGGGTCTACATGTGCCTCACCAGCAACAGGTTACGAGGCTACAGGGGCCAGGAAATCAGAAACCTTCATCTCTTGCGGCAGCACAGTCTAGTGCAGTTCAACCAGGGATTCAAAATAGATTAACAAATGTTGACAGCGATGAATCTTGTAATAGTATTCTCAGCAAAAGAAGTATCCATGAGCTAGTCAATCAGGTGAGCTATGCTACTTTCTTGTGTTCCATCGAAGATTTCTGGGCTTATGTTCCAATTACGGGCACCAATTGTTAAATAAACATGCGTGGAACTCTTTAGATTTTGCAGTCCAAGTAGAAATTCTGAATCTTGAAGGTCTCTTGTAGGAACTTCTTAATAAAAGAAAATTAATTTAACATGTAGAGGGCTAACATTAATCATTCGAGTAAATTACTCTTACACCCCCTAAAATTCTACAAAATTGTACTAACACTCCCTTGCTTTTTTTAGGTTTACAGTAACCTCCCTTACGGGGGTCACAATGTAATGTTTTTCAAATAATAAAAGGGGGGGGGGGGGGGGGTTGTTAAAGTAATATATAAGGGGTGCTAGTGTAGTATTTTTCAAACAATTAAGGGAGGTTAGGGGTAGAGAAAGTAGGGGATGTTTGTACAGTTTCACGAAACTTCAGGGAATGTCAATGTAATTTACTCTAATCATTTTGATTAATTCCATTCTAAGTTGCCTGCTGAAATTCAAAAGAATTTCATGGTTTCTCCTAAAGGCCCATTTATGAAATTTTATGATACCCCGGGTCCCATATTAGACGAGTAAGGAATTGGATGGTGGCTTACAAATGCATAAAGCTACTATGATAACTTGGGCAAGCCTTTGGATTTTGTTTTAAAGTTTGAGTCCATAATAAGTATTAATGTCTAAAATGGAACTATAGAAGCATGTAACTGCTGCTTTAGCTAGTAATTAGGTTTGCAGGTTCTTAGTAAACAACTATTTTTTCAATATCCGTTCTCTTTCTATATTACTTCTTGACCCATTCAAAATGAAGGCCATGCTAGAATTTTTTTTAAATTAAAAAAAAATTGTGATCTTGTGCTACTAAAGTTTGCATGGAAATTTAACGTAAGTAATTGTCATAGAATTTTTGCTCATTTCTCTAAATTTTTAAGGTAAATGCTTGGTAGTTTTTTTTATCATTGTTACCAACATTGCCATCGAACTCATAGAATCACATGATTCTACAAGTTTCATTGCCCTTTCTCTTCTAGATCACACCTTGGATTGCAACTGTGACCAGAGTGAAATCATCAGTCATACTTAAAAGGTCATAGGATCTGCAATAGTGCAATGCAATCTTTCACTATCTGGAGTCTGGACACATTTGTTGCAGTTGGGCACATGGGTTGGGTTTTGAGACCTGTACCCAAATTAACCCTAATCTCTTCCACTTTCTTATTCCTTCATTCACGCACTCTTGCCCTCACCCTCTCACTATCTGTGCTTTTAGAGAGGAGTTCAAAGCTTGTGTCTGCATTCTGCTTCATCGACCATCTCCTGCCTTTTTCTCTGTTTTTGCCTTCAAAGAAAGCAGTTTTATGGTTTGTGTTGTATGTTGGAGTGTCTCTTTTCTAGTATGTCTGGGGGTGTTCTGCTATGGCAGGCTGAAGAAACTCTTTCTTTTTCTTTATTTCAAGTTATTAAACCCAAATTGGGCTTTTTGGGCCATCGATTGAGATTCAAGGCCTTTGGACTAAATTTTATGTCCTGTTCTCTTTCTGCTTTCTTTTTTTCTGTTATACATAGTATCAAATATTAAACTGACTGAAATATCAAAATACAATAACTGTATAATCTATTAAAATTCTTACATGAATCTTAATGCTATCATTACATGTATTAGTTAATTATATTATCTCATTTTTATGTTAAAATATTCTTTTATTTATTGGTAGGATCTTATGATTTGTGTTACAATCACATGTTTACTATCTTTCATCCCTCTCCCATGTTTTGTATCTACAATATTGTATTATAGAATCATAGAATGAATATGATAACTGCTAGGACCTCAAATAGGCTTGGGTCCAAATGGGCAATTTGCACCTCAACTGCCCAAGCCATTATGTAGCCCATTGTATGCAAGAAAGAATAGGAGTGTCCAAAGTGAGAATGCTGATGCTGATGTGGCAGTAAGTGAGAGGGGGTGTAACGGGTCTGTTATATGGGAAATTAGGGGAGAGAGAAAGGGCATTTGATAGAATCAAATGATTAGTTATGGGTAGAGCTTGGTTTCTCTGAAGGAGCTTAGCTCTTTGGCAGTAGGACATTCATTCCACTGTAATTCCTTTTTTTTCTTCAAAAATAATACATTACAGACCCTATTTTCCATTATTGAGTTGTTTTCTTCTTTAGTTGCTACTGTGAGATTTGGGTTTGTATCAATAGCTCAATAAGATTATGTTACAAGATTATACATATTTTTAGGCTAATTGGGCTTATGGTGTTTTTCCGAGCAATTTGAATTTGAACCTACTGGTAATGAAGAGTATTGCTACAGCTACTATTATACTTCTCTCACTCACTTTTTCTCACACATACATTAAAAGTATCATTTTTTAGTGTTTTTAATCAATGCTCAAACTTCTATCAATACTTTTAATCTTACTAATTAAGTTAGACATGTGAGAAAAATGTACAGCAGTAACTGAGTAACATTTTCCAGCTGCAAACAACTCGATGGTTTGGATTACTGGATTTACAAGTTTATATGCTGGTTGATTCTTTTGAAGTCACTTGCCTAACTTAGTGTGTTTGGCCTTTGGAGTATCTTATTTTGGGAAAATAATTTCTTTTTGCAACTTCCTGAGACTGAAAGAGTTTTTAAAGACAGTCAATTATTTTCCCAAAATTAAGCTGAAAAACATGTCATTATATAGGTGTGTGCTATTTATTGATTCTCTTTTGGTTTTAGCTTATGGTTATCATAAACATTTACCCAAAACTATTCAACTGCTTACAATTTCTGTTCCCCTCTGTTCCTCAATGGATGATTCCTTAAATATGTTCCGCAAAAATACAGCTTCACTTTCATTTTAACATCACATTATGGATTTACAATTTGACTTTGGTTATTGAATGCAATATCGTATGAGGAATTTTAAAGTTTATAATTTGATTATGATTCCGTAAGCTTGCAACAGCCCTTTTTTATGTTTGTTTCTAGTCCTATATTTACATTTCTACTTTATTGGCAGGTTGATCCATTGGAGAAGTTGGACCCTGAAGTTGCAGACATTCTTGTGGATATTGCAGAAAACTTTCTGGAGTCTGTGAGTATTTTTGTTTAGTTTTATTGTGTTCACTGGGCTGATGGGATTGTTCACTTTTTTGCAACTCGATAAAAATTTATCGAGTGTCTCTCCTTGTTAATGTTAGGGGATATTTGGTACAAGAGAGGTTTTTTTATGCCCTGGAATCATAATGATTCCTAGGAATGACTATAATGTGTTTGGTTGAGCATAAATATTCTTAGAAATGTTAATATATGTTACTTGGGAATTAAATATTTTTACTACATTAAATTAATGAATAAAGGTAACATTATATTTTTATCATATTATATATTTTTTCACATTGTTGATAATTTAAGCCTCGAGTAATTGGCATTGGTTTGTTTTATGATTTCCTCATTTATATGATCTATTTTCTTTTTTGATGATGATTAACTTGTATAGAAATGAACTATGTTTACAATTTTTCTTGGTCTTCTTTCAGATAATCTTCTTATCCAAATTTTATTTTCTTTCTATATACTCATTAGATTGTTTCAGTAATAGCCATTGTTTTATCTATTCTTTAAATAGATAACCAGGTCTGGTTGTTCATTGGCCAAGCATAGGAAATCAACAACTTTGGAAGCGAAGGACATACTTCTCCATCTTGGTTAGTTACTAAAAAAATTCTGCGGCCAGATTTTATTATCAGCAGATTTCATTCCTAACACTATATTGACATCTTATAGAGAAAAATTGGAATATGTCACTTCCTGGGTTTGGCGGGGATGAGATTAAGAGCTACAGAAGACAAGTAAGAATTATCAGAATCTTTGTTGTGTCTTTATATTTACATTTTTACTGATTAGTTTATGCTTTTTAGAATTTCTTATTCTTGGCTTGTAATTTGTGATGGTTTTGCAGATTACAAGTGATATTCACAAGGAGCGTCTAGCAGTTGTAAGTTTTGGTCTCTTTTTATTATGGTAGTTGTGATTGCACATTTCTGCTGGCATGAAGACATGTTGGTAGACTTTTTGCAGTACCCTTGTCCCTTGCTATGCCTATGTGTCTTATTTTATTTTCTTAACCTACTTTTGTAATTATTAATGTGATGATGGTGATTATTATGATTTCATTTATCTTGGTTTGGCAGATAAAGAAATCAATGGCAGCAACTGAGGCAACACATGCTAAGGGCTCTGCTGGCCAGGCATCTGGCACTGCCAAGGGTAGTCAGGCAAAGGCACCTTTGAATATCATTGGCTCGCCGAACCTAAAAAATTCATAGGATGCATGCTGTGTTCATGCTTTACACAGCAACGGAGGAACCACTTTGGTGAAGTTAATTGAATTTTGTAATAGATCAAATCGGTATTCCTGTTTAAAATTTTCCACTGTAAACATAAGTTGCATCTATATTTCTCATTCATCAGTCCACATGAATTGAATGCCTAGAAATGCTTTAAAGTGGTTTCACACTTGGCACCATATTGTGGCATGGAGTGATGCGTTTATTTCTTTGACCCTGATTCCTGACTATTACGATAGAAGTTCACAACTTCGATTGACTGTCTATATGGAAAACCAAACATGTTGATCGATGGTCCTGATAAATGTTTAAATATGCTTGTTATGTTCTCATGATGTTGTAACTAGGAGCCTGATTGGTACTTTTAGTTTATGCTAGACTTAAACCACAATTTCGCAAGTGATCAGCGGAAGCTCCCACCTTTTTCCAGTCAAACTTGTTCAACTTAATGTTAAGAGGGCTATTCGACTTGATCCGTTTTCCTGGTCAAACTTGTTATTTTCATGTGCACACAAGTTGGTTTTCCGTTTGGTGTGGAACATAACTTGCTAAGTTTTGTGCATGTCTGTTGTTCTTAGGAAGAATGTGGTTCTTTTCAGGCTGTTTCTAAGCATTCCATTAGCAGAACTTGAGCAATGGTCTGAATGTAAAAGCGTTGCAGAAAGCCAGGTATGGGGAATCAAGATTCATATGAATAGTCAATAGTCTAATATCTGAAAACCGAAAAGAAAGAAGATTTGGCTTCAGCTACGTCGTTTTTTTGTACTGATAATAGTAAGAAAGTCAGTGGTTAGGTAGGCTGATTCATTTTCATTATTATGATTGATATTTTAATTTGTACGCAAACAGTATCCTGAAATATACATGCAATTACGTTTCTTGTAAGGTAGACTTCCGAGTTTCAACAGCTGCAGAAATCCCATGGAGTTCCGTGGCTCAATGATTTTGGTTTAATGTGGATATTATATAATCTAGACTATTTATAAAGGGATATTTTACTTTGGTTTTCACACTTTTTAGACATTTATACTCCTTTATTATATATTAATTCTTTTTCCACTATCATATCTCGAGGAAAATAGAAAAAAATGTCTACAAAAAAACTCTTTATGATTCAGACTTTGAGAATGTGTGTAGCAATTGGTTGATTAGTCAGCAACCTAGAAATTCCTTTAGTTCCTATATTCCAATGAGAGCTATTAATTTGGATGCAGTAGTTCACGCTGATGTGTGAACCATTAGAGGTTCCTTCACTTAGAGGGAACAAATTTTTTGTTTCCTTTGTACATGAATTCAACAAAGTGTTGTTTGGTCTATCTTATCTGGTACAAGACACAAGTGTTTTCAGTTTTCAGAGTTTCAAATTACTTGTTAAGCAACTAAAAGTCAGATTAGAATACTCAGTATTGATGGTGGAGTGAGTACAATTCTAAAGAGTTTGATGATTATTCAGCATGAAGTAACTGCACCCTATACTCTTAGCATAATATCCTAGCTAAGAGGAGAAAGAAACATAACAATAGTCAATATGACAGAGTAAATATTTTCCTCACTGTTTTGGGGAAGAAGCGACCGTCACTGCTTATATTCTAAATAGATGTCCCACAAAGACAACTAAGTCCACGGTACTTGAAGAAGTTCAGACAGAGAAAGCAATGTTCTAATAAATAATACCAGCTCAAAGTTTAATAGTTTAACTATGATTGGATTGATAATATTTTCTAAATTTATGTATTGAGTAACAATGTAATGTTCAAAATATCATAATATTCATTTCATAACATAATATTATGTTTACATTTTTAAATATATTTATACCAATTTAAACCCATTATAAGTTGAGCCAATATGGTTGAATAAATCGGTCTACTATGGTTTTAATAACTATGCTTGAAAGTTTCTGGATTCTTGTTTCAGGCATATTCCAAATGAGGAGAAAGAAATTAGATGGTTAGAGTGAGCCAATGATACTCATCTGGTATCATACTACAGGAATAATAGGTGGGATTGGAGAATCTTGTGTTTCTATGGATTAGATTACATAGATGAAGATTAAATGAGTGAACAGGGTTATAAAAATTGTACATTACTATAAATCAAAAGATAATAATCAATAAAAAATGTTTGTCGTGTTGATGAGAATAGTAACTGGGATTGGAAGGATTACATAGATTAATATAAAATGATTGAGCAATGTGACCCACAATTGGAGAATATGAGACCTTGAGAAGCAGGAGATCACCGCAAAGATTTGTTAACTATCCGATGATTCCTGGTATTATTATCTCAACCGGTGAAGAATTGGTTCACTTGGCAACTCTTTAATTTGTTGGTATATCACTATGCCAAAATTATAGACAGGAGCATTTAAATAAATAAACACTTTAGATTAAGACACGGAATAGTAAGAGTGTTTAATTAAATAAGCACTACAATAAGACTATATATTAAAAGTGCTTAAATAAAAAAAATAAAATAAAAAGTGCTCTCTATGGTTGATTTACATTTTAAAAAATAAAAATACTATAATTTATTAAAAAAGTATTTACATAAAAGGTCCTGTTTTCACAACTCGACGTGTCATAAAAATAAAGCCTATTATTGTATCTCCCTCCACCATGCATTTCGCACTCCTAATGTTCTCTTGTGCCTACCTATTCTCTTTGTTGTCGCACTTCCTCTATGTTATGAGTATAGATCACTTCATGGTTGTCAGAATACTAATATGATGCCAAAAAGGCAAAAGAATTCTATTACATTACCTATGGATTGGGAATGCCTCAAAATTTGTTGCAATGTCAAACGGGTTATCTCCTCCGAGAACTTCCGTGTAGTCCCCCTTTTGGTTATAAAGCAATTTATTTCATTAATTTAATTAGGATATGCTAGCTAGCCGCATAAAGTTTTATGCACTGTGATTTAATAATGAATTGTTATATAATTAAAATTATCTTTTGATAATTAATTTAAAATCATATTTAATTAAGTTATAATTTCTATTTTATTGACGACGTAAAAAATTTAAGAATTACATAACACTAAATTAAACACTTATTTTATAAGCACCCCTAATCATAATTAGCTGTTTGACTTTCTGGCTTTCACAAGTTTTTAATATGTACTTTACAAGCAACAGAACCCTGTTCTTGTACTATAAACAAGCCAACATTTAGCTAATTAACTCGGGCTCAGCCTTAATTTCCCCTAAGACCTTGAGTGTTTGTTGGAGTATAGTGGAAAATGATTCAACACCTTAGTGGTCATCTTCATTATTAGTTCCCTGCCTTGGCATTGCATCAACATCAAACGTGCAAACCGCTCTCAGGCTTATAATTAGATAAATATTAATGAGATGTTTCTTAAGACATTTTTCTAAACACATTAGTATTAGTTCAAATTTATTAGAGACTATAAAATTTTATAGGCCCACTTCTTATTTAATAACTCTAACTTATAATTTTGTTGTTTCTAACAAATTTTAAGGAATACTAAAATATAGGTATTTTTTTTGATAAACTTCTCTATAAATACATTTTTTTTAAAAAAAGTGAAATAATCTTTTCTTAAAGATTAGACATATAGTAGCTCATTAATTTGTTATTTAGGACTTGACTCCTCACAAAAGATCATATTTGTTCTCATGAAAACATCGGGGTTAATTTAATAATAATTGAAATAGTATGTACAATGTTTTATGTTCAAACTTTGTTGTCATCTTTGTAGTAGTATTAAAATAAAAAAGCTCTTATGTTATGTTTTTACTCGGTAGATTTAGTGTAGTCAATAGTACATTGAAATCTTAAGCTTATTCCTTTTAGTTTATGCATATGATTATCTACCGGTGTTTATTTAATGTATAACTTTCTGAAGATAGCAATTTTGAAAGTGACTACTTTTGTTAAATAAATTTTGAACTGAAAATTTGAGCGGGAAACCATCTATCCATAACTTAGCAAAACTCGACAACATTAAAATGCAAGATTTAAAATAAACCTAAACAGAAAGATAAAAGATTAGGCACACAGTAACCCACTAACCCTTAATTATTAAATGATTGATTAAAAAATGAAAACTAAATTGGATCTGAAATCATCAATCTTCAATTCACTGAATAATATTACAGCATATATATGTATAACTATTCTAAGTTGAAGAATTTTTAGCTACCTCATGTACTGTATGTTACGTCACCTACTATTATCTTCCACTCTTGCATATTTCTGTCTTGAAAAATCAATTGAAACATTTTACTTGAAGTAATGATAGGATGTCAACCACAGGTTGTTCCGGAGTAGGTATTATTCATTGCTTTTAGGACTTTTCGGTTTTTGAAGTCAATCTATGTACAATTATGGTCCAGAATTGTTGGTGTTATTTATATCTGAGCAGTATATCTTGTTCTTCAATGAATTTTATACCAAGCTTGAAGGACAGGTGGATGATTATCCATCATCCCTTATCAGCCATTTTGGTTTGCTCAACCAAATATTAATCATGTCTCACAAAGTTGTTCTGCATCAACCTTTGTTACACATTCCGCAATGCTCTTAATATTCCAAATACCCTAAATCAAAGAGGCACCTTATCCTTTTTTGCTGACTCATGTATCATGAAGGGGTGTTTAAGTCTTTCACATAAACAGAGGCAGAGGAAAAGTGAGAATAATTACTGTTTTTTCACACTCGAGGAAAAAGAAACCACAAAACTTAGATACAATAGAATAATTACTGTTAGAATTGTTCTTCAATAAGAAGTAAATTTATTTTATTTATATGCATTATCTTATTACATATATTATTAAAATAAAATTCTAATTGTGATTATATATATTAATAACTACATGTAAGGTTTATCTAAAAGGAAAAGTGAGGCTCTAAAACAACCAAAGTCAAGACCAAGACCATTCCCATTTAATAAAAGCAGTTAAACCAACTCTTTCTTTTAAATTTTGGGTCATACCCTTTGTGCACTTGGCAGTTACCTAATTTCTTGAAGGAGCTATTTCAACCCCCACATAAAAATGTACCCACTCCAACAACCATTGAGTGGAACACCTCTCTCATTTCATGCATCTATCTTTATACACATATATATATATATATTCCCCTATAACCGAAGATATGATATTGGCATTTTAAGGGGGTCTTTTTTCAAAAGCAAAACCTTCAACAAGGTGACAACATCAACAAAGGGTGCAATTTTTTTAAGATTTTAGGCATGGCTTGTGTGTGTTCATCAACAGCAATGGCAGAGAAGATTTCATGGAATTGTGCTGTGCTTGTGGCACTAATGCTGGTGTTGAGTAGCTGCGAGTCAAACACAAGTGACTTCACAATTCAGAATGCCAACAATAGCAACAACAAGGTGTGTGATGAGATTTACGTGGTTCGTGAGGGAGAGACCCTTCAAACTATAAGTGAAAAATGTGGGGATCCTTATATTGTTGAAGAGAATCCACATATCCATGACCCTGATGATGTTTTCCCTGGCCTAGTTATCAAGATTAACCCCTTCGCCAATAGATCATGAAATGTTCCAATTTGGGATAATGTTTTTCAACTCAATGTTCTTCTGTGTGAGAAAGGTTAGAAAAAGCAACTCATGTATGTAGCCATTTACGGTTTCAATTTCCATGCAAAATGCTCGTCTTAGAAGGATAGAAGCATAATTCATCAACTCAAAGTGGTTATGTTGTGAATTTCCATTTTCCAGTTCAATCTCTCTGAACTACTTTTGATTTTGTATGAGAACACTTATTGTAGTGAAGTTCTTTTGTACAATATATATAGGTTAAAATAGAAGAGTGACACAAATTAGAGGGATGAATGGCAAATATATCTACCTTTATGGTTGTATGAACTTTTCGTTTGATGAAAAAAATGAAGAAATAGAATCCAACTATTTCACATCACCTTAATTTTGTAAAATTGCATTTTATATTTCTTAAAAATGAACCCTCTCTGTTTTAGCTCTTTTATTTTTTCCTCTTTAAACTGAATTGACATTTTATAAATAGTTTAAACTTTAATGAGGATATAATAAATACGCGATGAAAGACATTTTTCTACGGCTTGTTTGGTCACGCATGCATGTATATGATGCAGTTTTTCGCGTGTTATGTGAAGCTATCAGAGACTTTTGTTATTGATATGATTTTTGTCTTGAAATTGTATTTCCAAACACGCTTTCACATGTCATGGTATTTCATCTAACAACCGAAGCTTAAAGAAATTTGGATCTTCTACTTCAGTCCTCTCTTCAGCAACAATGATAACCATAAGATATATTTAATGGTTCAAATTCAATATTATAAAAATTATTTTAAAATAAATGTGAACCATTTGATTAACACTTAGACATATTTTACAGACTTCATTTTACATTTTGTCTCCTCCAACACAAACTCATAAATCGCCCAATAAAAATCACGTTGTCAAACAATTCAAACCATAACCTCTTGTACTTTTTGCAAAGTGAGATACCAGTGAAAGCCAAGATTTTTATCAGTGAAAACCAAGAATTAAAGATTCATGTAATGTTGAAATTTTCATCTACTATTTAATTTGTAAGTGTTTGACTTAGGTTTTAATTTTTTCATTCTTGTCAAATATAAAGAAAATTCAGTTTCATAAAGATTACCCACAAAAAATAAAGCGGGATAACAATTTTCATTCTCAATTATATTGTATATATCTCTCAAATAATTTCGATTATTACACAACCAAAAATATTATAACAAAATTAATGTGATTTTTGTACATTTACTCACTTATTTATACTTACTCACATATTATTTGTTTATTGCATTTTTTTTATATTATGTATTATTATTATACAATGTTCAATTCATGTCAACAACAGTATGTCTCGAAGAAGAATTTTCTTCCATTTGGGTCGAAGATTTTATTACAACAATGCTAATGATCATTGTCAAATTATATAATATTAATTTAAATTAAGTATTTAATTGGTTGTCAGAGATTTTATTAGAGTTGTCATCAGTAGTGTAATATAAAACCATTAAAAATTTGTTTAAATAGACAAATTTGACTTCAAATTCATAAATTTATGATCTTTAAATATCAGTCATTATCTAATGGTCCATGAGTGTGATGGAGAGAAGGTTTTTAGGAGAGAATCCAAATCTAAGCTTAAGAGGCTGGTTGAAGCTTAATTTTTTTCTTTAGTTTTAAATATCTAATTTCTATGGAAATTTTTAGCAAAGCTTTCTCTTTTTATTACACTTTTTTATTTAAAAAACTTGTATATCATATTTTACTTAAAAGAATTCGAGTCCGACACCACTGCAAGTTGTTGTTAGTATAGATACAAGTTGAAGTAGTGTTACACATTTTTGTAGAATAAATCAAATGACTAATTAGGATTCGGCAATGAAGCAGCTAATGAATGGATTGTGGAGCAAAATGACCTAATTAGAATTCGCAAGCTGATAAATAATTTGTAATTCAATATTAAAAGCTTTGAATTTTTTTTCCCACTAGACTGCAAAATTCCAATGGCATTCATGCATTAATTATTATTATTATTTTTTTTAATTTTTGCAATACCCTAAACCTCTTACTAACTTCCAATATTTCACATATAGGAGCAGCTACAAAGGATTGGTAATCGCTATTAACTCTTAGAAAAAGTGACCCCACTCAACTATTACTATCATTAAATAGGAATTGGTTATGGTAAATTCCATCAAGCTTTATATGGCTGGCCTTTGTTCCATTTGTCGTGCTCTATGATTTTTCACAAAACTACGTTTGCTTAAACTTAGTTTCAAAACTTTTTAAGTTATAAACTATGAGTTGAAAAAGTTAAAAGCTTGTGATTTAACTGAACAAATTAAAAATGTTTAATGACATTAACTAATTTGATAAGTTAGTTGATAAATGTAAAATGATATAAAAAGATTTTTATAATAAAAATGAGAAAATGGTAGGATGGAAAAAATAGTTTCTAAATTAAAAAGGAATTTTTTTCAAGTAAATTAATGAGAATGGGAAAAGATAAAAAAATAACAAAATAACTAAGAATTTATAAGTTATAATTTAATTAAATTAATTAATAAAAATAAATCATAAAATTTTAAAATAAACTTGTATAAACATTCGTATCAAATAAATTTATTTTGATCAAATTAATTTATAAATTAATAAAAAATTTATAAACTTCTGAAATACCTTGCCAAATACACTCTAAAATCAAAGTCAATGATTAGGGATGGTAAAAATACCCGCACCCACGGGTATTTACGAGTAAAATTCGCTACGGATAATAAATGGATAAACTAATTAGGTACACACAAATAATGGGGACGAATAATTTTTTACCCGTTTATAAACGAGGCGGGGGCAGATATGATGATATCCATACCTACAGGTACCCGTTTAATAATATTTCTTAAATATTTTAATTATCTTTGTACTACATAACCCTAAAACTACACTCTCTCATCTTATTTTCTTACAAAAATGAGGTTGATGAAGTTACCAACATATGTTAAGCATGTTATAGAATTATGTTGGATGTAATTTGATTAATTTTTTAGCTTTGATTGGACCAATAAGATTTATGTATTTTAAGTTGTTTACTTTCGTTTGAATTTGGAGATTGAATTATTGTAGTTTTGTGATGAAACTTTAACTTACTTGTGAGATTGATGTATTTTAAGTTATTGATTATCTTTTATTTTTATTATTATTTCAACAAAATTAATGTTAAATACAATTTCAAAATTAACATTGAATTTGTATTTTTAATATTTCAATGACATTAAATATAAACTTAAAATTATTTGTAATATAATTTTTTTAATTTCTTAAAAAATTTATAAATATCCATGGATGCCTATATATATCCGTGGATATTCAAGAAATTCATGAATACCCACTTAATAAATACCCGCACAGATATAAAATAGGTAGGAGACCAATTTTTATCCAACGGGACGGAGACGAGTTTAATATTACTTGCCTCATGGATCTCATTGCCATCCCTACCAATGACAGCAATATTTTAGGTTGGTTTAGTATAGAATAATACTGCTATTTTATTATCTAAACATGTTTCTTTAAGTATATTCGTTTTAAGTTTATGTTATTTATATTGGGTCGGGTATCTAGGAGGCTTGTTTTAGGTCAAAGGGTATCTAGCAAGCTTGAATGTGTTTATCCACAATAATTTCCTTTTGGGCTAGTAATTATACAAAACGGCAAATAAAATGAGCCCAATGACTGGCCTTGAAATTAGGATGGGCTTTCGTAATTATTTTCTCAGATTGTCTAAACTTTTAGTCCTTCTTATTTTTTTTTTAAAAAAATTCTGAACCAAAAGAAAAACAAAAGAATTTTAATTCATGAAAAGCGTGTAAAACCCTAACCACATCTTTTATTTAATACAGTAAGGAAGTTTTGACACAACTTTTTCCTCTCAAAAGTAAGGATATTTTAGATAATTCTTAGTAATATTTTATATTTATATATAATTATTTAAAATTGTATTAGTTAGTCCAACATTTAATACATTAAGCATTGTACCCTTTTAACTACACATGCTTTCAGGGAAACAATTCATTTTTCATATTTAATTACATTTTAATATATATTAGTCTAGCATTTAATATATCGTGATTTTTAAATTACTCATACTTCACTTTTCGGTTTTTATTGAACAAATGAACTGCAAATTTTCAAATGTGGTTAGGGATGAAGAACTGCTAGAGAAGCTACTCTTACTCAAGGGGATTACGTTTTGTGTTGCTAATGGTCTGAGGAAAGACAAAAATCGAATTATCAGCCGATTTGAATGATTGTTCCATAATCCATTACTCAATTATATTAGTGTGATATTTTAAATAATTATAATTTGTTTTAATTATACTACTCTTGATAGGAAATTTTATTAGTACATGTGAATAGTCTCTTTTAATTGTTTTTATCTTAATTATTATTAGTATTATCTTTAGTGAACTATGTAATTTTGTACAATAATATGTACATCTTTTTTAATTTGGGTAGTCTCTTTTGATTATATATATATATATATATATATATATATTATGTATTTTTTCACTGGATGGTGTAAGACCTACAGTGTACAGTGTGTTCTTCTTCTTCCCTTTTTCTTATCATTTTTATTTTCTCCTCACTTTTTATTTTCTTGTTCCAAATTGTTGAACTCTCTTGTTGTGATGTTTTTTCTGAAGGTGTTGAGTAGAGGTGTCGATTGCTAGCTAGAAGCACGAATATTCCTCTTCTTCTTCTTTCTCTTCCTCAAAGCTCGGATTCTTCTTCTCCGAAGTAAGGGAAGATTGTGGGTTTGCATGTGGTGTTTTTGATGATTTTTGAGTTGCATGTTGTGCTGTGTGTTGAAAATTGATGATTTCTTGTGCTGGATCTTCTTGTATTGGTGTTTTTATATGGATTGGGTGCATTTGCATATCTGGTTATGGTGAAAATGGTGAATAACCTAAGTGTCTCTATCATCAACGGTTGAGCCCTTTGGGGGCTGCGTGCAAGGGGAACATTCTTAAGAGAGAAAGGGCTGAGCCGTTGAGAACGGGCGAGTGCTTGGTGAAACGGCTAAGCCCTTTGGGGCCGCGTGCCAGGGGAGAATTCCTGGAGGCAAAGCGCTAAGCCCTTTGGAGGCTCTGAGTGCTTTTGTGGTTTCAGAATTTGAATTTGTAGTCTACATGAAAGTTGTAGCATTGGATCTTAGCTTTTCAATGACATTAGAATCACTCAAAAAGAGGTCTAAAACTCCAGATATGACTGTTTTAGTAAACAGGGGTCAAGTTGCCAGCATTGGTTATAACTGTTGCGGTTTTTATAATTTTTAGCAAAGTAGATGATGGAATTAGGACTTGATGTATTCATAAGAGTTTTAGGAAATCTTCTTATA